AAGCTGGATGGGTGATTTTGGACCAATTACTGGGAGGTGGTGAGTTCCAGTCCTGCCTTAGCCATGAAAGCTGGATGGGTGTCTTTGGACCAATCACCAGGAGACGGTGAGTTCTAGTCCTGCCTTAAGCATGAAAGCTGACCGGGTGACTTTGGGCCAGTCCCTCTCTCTCAGCCCAACCCCCAACTCACAGGGTTGTTGTGATGCAAAAAATGGGGGGGGGGTGAGGGCGCCACCTTGGGTTCACCAAACACATGTGGGTGGGTGGGTGGGTGTGCAATCGTGTGCGTGTGTGTATAAATCAATGAAAAGGCATCTAACAACACCAAAACAATAGTATTTTCCTTCACCCTTGTTGAGTTTTCGACGTAAACCGCCTGGAAACTTTTCGATTTGGCCACCCTAATGAGTTCATCGTCGCCATCCGGGGGTGGGTGGGTTTCACCTTTGGGAGGGTCTCGGGAGGGAGGGGTCTTCTTTTGCCCCCAAAGGACAGCCCTCCTCCCTCCCTCCCTCCCTCCTTCTTGCACCAGGCCCTCACTGTTCTCCTTTTCCTCTGCCCGCAGTACCCAACCTCCCGACGTCCACGTCTTACTCCAAGAAAACGCAGGCCGCCAACGCTGAGAACAAGAGGCCCGAAGAAGAGAGGGAGGCTGGGCGTAGCAAGGCTGGAAGCACCGTCAAAGTGCCCGCCAGCCCCCTGCCCAGCCTGGAGAGGAAGAAAAGCACCCCGATGCCCTCCACGGTCAGTGCCCGAAGACCCCCCCTCCCCACCTGTGGGCTTTGCGGGGGGGGAGGAGCTCCATCGCTGAATCTATAACCGCCTGTCCAGGGTGGCTACTCAGGAATTTATTATCCGGGTAGTCCTTGACCTATGGCCTTAATGGAATCCTCTTAAGACGTGACCGCCGTAAATCGAGGCAGTCACGTGACCAAGCTGAGCTCAGGACCTGTCTTGGTGTGGGGTCACAAGGTGGACAGCGCGTGGATCGTAAAGCGAGCCTGTTGATTCGCGCGGATGTTTTTAGCTTAAAAAGTACGGAAAGTGTCAAAAAAAGAGCCGTATCAGTTGAACAGTCAGTAGCCAAGTTCTCCAAAAATAGTTATTTAATTGGTGGCGGGGATATCCTTGCATAGAACCGGGTTATAAATACCGTTTTTTTGAAGGGGGAGGTCTGTCGTAACTTCAGACGGTCGCTAAGCAAGTTGTCATAAGTCGAGGACTGCCTGTATTGCTGTACCCGTATAAAGGCTGCATTACAGGTAGTCCTTGACTTAACAGCCACAATTGAGGCTCAACCTCTGTGTGGCTCAGTGAAATAATTTGGGAGGCCGGTTTTTGCCTCCTTTTACGACTTTTCTTGCCCCCGTTGCTAAGTGAATTGGGGCCACTGCTAAGTTAATCAGCACGGTCGTGAAGCTAATCTGGCTTCCCCGTGGACAGGAGGTCGCAGAAGGAGATCACATTGCAACCGTCATAAGTATGAGTCAGTGCCCAAGCATCTGAATTTTGATCATACGGGTGGGGGATGCTACAACGGTCATTAAGTGTGAAAAACGGTCGCAAGTCCCTTTTTTCAGTGCCGTTGTAACTTTGAGCAGTCACTCGATGCAGTGTTGTAAGTCGAGGACCACCTTAGAGGCTTTTTTTCTGGGTTGGAAATCTGCTGCCGGCATGCCAACCCTGGCCGGCGGCCATCCCTCACTTGGCGTCTCTCCTCGTTTGCAGAACAGCGTTCTCTCGACCAGCACAAATCGGAGCCGCAATTCCCCCATGCTGGACCGCGCCAGCTTGGGCCAGAACTCGATACAGAACGGCAAAGATAGGTAAGGAGGAAGAGGAGGAGGAGGTGGGAAGTCAGCCCTGACCACCCCAGAGGTTGCCCCGACCGAGGAATAAAAGCGTTTGCATTTTAAACCAGGAATAAAAGTGTTTCTATTTAAACCAGGGTTTCAAAGTGTTTCCATTTTAAACCAGGAACAAAAGTGTTTTTATTTAAACCAGGGTTTCAAAATGTTTGCATTTTAAACCAGGAACAAAAGTGTTTCCATTTTAAACCAGGAACAAAGGTGTTTCTATTTTAAACCAGGGTTTTCGACCCTTAGTCACTTTTTTAAGATTTGTAGACTTGGATATTGAGTTAAAATTTGCTTTTTCTAATCTTTTTTTTATTGATACTTTTTTTTCCCCTTTAATATATAAGAACTCCTACCTTGAGCAGGAGGCTGGACTGGATGACCTCCAAGGTCCCTTCCAACTGTTATTGTTCTGTTATTTCTGTTACCCAAGCGCTTAGTCAACAGTGGCCTGAGTCCATTTCCTTTTACAAATTAATAATAATTGTGCTAGTAATAATAGCAGCAGTAATCCTAGTAAAAGTTTTTTATTCTTATTTAAAGTGGTATAGTTTCCCCCCTTCCCTTCTCCTGCCCCAAAGCACCGCAACCCCTTTTCAAAATTACTTGGATCTAAATCAGAGGTCTCCAATCTTGGCCAACTTTTAAGACTTGTAGAGACTTCCACTCCCAACGTTCT